ATATAGTACTGAGGATCCTAGGGGTGCTTAACCACTGAGCCACATTCCTTTCCCTTTTTTATATTTTATTTAGAGACAGGGTCTCCCTTAGTTGCTAAGTACCTCGCTAAGTTGCTGATGTTGGCTTTGAATTTGTGATCCTCCTGCCTCAGCCTCCCAAGCTGCTGGGATGACAGGTGTGCACCAGGGTGCCCAGCGTATTTTTTAATTCATTTACCAAATAGTCATAGGAACAAATTCATAATTCAGTGGTATTCATTTCAGGTGTGTGTGTTTTACATTGCTAACACTGTGGGGAGTGAAGACAATGTACTTCTTAGTTTTTTCCTGGCTTTATGGGGATAAATGGACTTCCCGGTACACCTCCATAATCTGCAAGGCCTTTCCACTGTGGAAAAGTGAAGAGACTGAATCAAGGAAGATTGAAAGCTGGTCCAAACTTGGAATGCGCTTCCATTGTTAAGAGCCAACTGTGGAAAGTTCAGGAACACATAGTTTTACTTACCACCTGGGGGACTCTTGGGCTTCAGGATCACCATCTCCTAAGGAGGAAGACCTGGATGTTCCTGAGACAGGAGGAACATGACTCTATTTACCATGTTACACAACTCAGCCAATCAGCTCCTTGAGTTAGTGAATAGAGAGTCCCATGGGAGGGTACCTTGGAGAAAATAATTAGCAGAAATCCAGATACTGGAAAAGGTACAGGATGTTATTTTAAGGTTTTGAGAGATATATCCTCCTGAGCTATCACTTCAACAGCATCTAGCAAGGGTGTGGGTTTTAGAAAAATTGATCATGGTCAATTGAACCAATGGGTTTGACATGTGCAGTAGTGAAAATGTTTCATGGATTCCCAGAGATGGAGGTAATCATAGAAGAACTTCCCTGGTGAAGAAGAACTTCTCAAACACTGGCTGAACAGCCAACTGTAGCAGAACAACCCGCAGAACCTGATTAATGTACCCATCCATAGGCCTCAGGGAGGCTGACTCTGATTTCAGCAATAAATTTATGTGTTTTTAACAAAGTCCCCAGGTCATGCCCATGAGAATCAAGGTTAGGAAATACTGATGTTTCATTTTAGAAACAGTGTACCATTCCATCTCACATAGCTTCCATGGTAAATGCAAACCTCCAGAATTTTTATATGTCACAGCTGCCATTTTCTTTTCTTTTCACATTTTTATTGATGCATTTATTGTACACAATGATGGGATTTGTTGTTACATATTCCTACATGCACACAATATAACAATATAATTTGGCCAATATCATTTCCCAGCAGACAGCTGCCCTTTTAGATAATTCTGTGGCCCTTTCTAGCTCTAATATTTAAAAAGCACTAAGTGAGATAAGCTTGGCATGAGAAGCCAAATACTCTATGATCTCACTTACAGGTGAAATCTAGCAACAGAATAGAAGGGAAGATGGGGAAAGGAGAGATGTTGATTAAAAGGTCTAAAATTTAGTTAAGACTGGGACAATAAGTTTTAGTGATCTATATCACTGCATGGTTTTCCCAGTTAAAAATAATAATGTATATTTCAAACTTGCTGAAGGACTTAATGTTCTCACCACAAAAAAAAGATACATTGGTGAAGTGATGAACATGTTAATTAGCTTGAAACTTTCTACAGTATATAAATAGATCAAAACATCATATATACCCCCTAAATGAACACACTTATTATTTATCTATTAAAAATGAGTAAGTAAACATCTATGAATTCCTCTTAACTTCATATTCTGTAACATTAAAGAAATGGTCTAGAGAAGCAATTTCCATTTCCAACACTGAGAGGCGAGAAGGATAATGGAATACAGTTTAACAGCTCATCTTCCTGTCATGGTGCAGTCTGGGTTGGGAGACTCATTTGAGGCATTTGAATCAGTAGTACATGATATTGGCTTATTGAGGTTTTGGATTAGTTTGCATAAGACAGTGGAATTGGGTTATAGGGTCTGAGCTTTGATTTGAGAATTTATTGGTTTACTGAATGGTAGTCAAGATCAGAGTGTTTAAATCGGTAGAAAGCTCTCACTGCCAAGATTAGTTTATAGACTCAGGTGGTCGACCATCTCTACTGGGGGTGAACTTGTGTGGAGTTAGGAGCTCCCGGGTGCTGAAGGGCACATCAAAATTTTATGCTAAAGAAACCTGCTGGGCACACTAGTGCAGGCCTGTAATTACAGCTGCTTGCAAGGTCGGGGTAGGAAGATGGCAAGTTCAAGGCCAACCTTAGTGATTTAGCAAGACCCTCTCTCGAAATAAAAATAAAAATGGCTGGCAGTGGTAGAGTACCCTGTGTTGAATCCCCAGAACTGCAAAAACAAAACAAAACAATAAACAAGAACACAGACTATAATTCTTTGCATCTTCCTGGAAGCATCTATTTGCAGGAAAGCTGTGTTGCATGTCCGAGAGATTTGAGTCATGTGCAGCTTAATGTTTTCATTTTTCCCTTGCAGTACCAACTGCATCAGAGGATACCGTGACATCGTTTTTGGGTCAGTCAGTGACTTTGCCCTGTTTATATTTGTCCTGGTCTCAGGACAGAAACAGCATGTGCTGGGGCAAAGGCCACTGTCCCAATTCTAAATGCAGCCAGGCGCTTCTCCACACGGACGGATCTAGAGTGCTCTCTAGTGCGTCTGAAAAATATAGGCTTCTGGGGAACATCCAGAGAGGTCATGTTTCCTTGACCATCTCCAACACCAATGAAGAGGACAGTGGGGTGTACTGCTGCCGCATAGAGGTGCCAGGCTGGTTCAATGACGTGAAGAAGCATGTTCACTTGGTGCTGAGTAGAGGTGAGCACATGCAGACGGGCTTGTTTCTGGGGAAGGGGAAATTCAGTGACTAATGGGTGTATGGTCAGATTGGTATAACTGTGACCAATATATCCACAAGAACAACTTAGAGGAGGAAAAGTTAATTTGGGTTCATGGTTTCAGAGGTTCAGTCCATGCTGAGCTGACTCATTGCTCTGGGCCTGAGGTTAGCAGAACATCGTGGCAGAAAGGCCCGCCGGAGGGAAGCAGTCAGGACTTGGCACCAGGAAGCAGAGAGAAAAGGTTAGAGGGGAGAGTGCTCAGCTCAGCAGGGACAAAACACCAACCCTAAAGGAACACCCTCAGTGACCTAGTTCTTCCATCCATACCCTACCTGACCACCATTACCATCCAGTTAATCCGAATCAATGGAGAAATCCACATAATCTAATAATTTCACCTCTGAACATTCTTGCATCCTACACATGAGCTTTTGGGGACACCTCATATCTAAGACATAACCGTGGGTGATAGATTCACTGGTGGTAGTGAAGAGGCTGTATTTGCCTAGATGGTAATTGGAAAGATTAGACTTGAAGTGCTAAGCCATGATATGAAGCAGGAAAGGAAACTCAAACCAAGTTTGACAAGACAGCCTCAGAAATGAATGAGGTTGAAGGTGGGGAGACAGAAGAGAAAGAATTAATTGCGGAGTCAAACTGATGAGGGCAGCTGCTACTTACTTAGGGGGTTGTCTGCTAACAGAAATTTGGGCACAGTGTTTTCGGATCTCCCAATTTTTATATGGATTGTGTTGATTTTTGCATATTTTTTTCCATAATTTTTCCAAATAATAATTAAATACATACCATGTGAACTAAATAAAATGTGTTCACGAGTAAGCTTTAGCCTATTAGCAAATGGTTTGTGACTTCGGACAGAGGGAAAAGGACTGGGGATCTGGAGACAGAGTAGTTTTTAGGCATATGTTTTTTCTGTTGCCATCAGTGGCTTCTGATAAAATTTGGAAAGCAGGGATTCCTAAAGATCTGAGCTATGTAGAACAGGCTGTTTAGAGCCTCTGGTTAAATTATGCTATCAATAACCCACTTTAGTGCTTGTCCACCATGTAGATTCTCAAAGTGAGGTGTGTATTATGCCTGCATCCACATCAACTGGAAGATTCTTGGGCTCTATTCCTAACAGATCTGTACCTTGGAAGGCAGGATCTTGATATGTTTCATATTATTTTTCCTCCACATTTTTAACTGGTACATTATAGCTGTACACAATGATGGGATTTGTTGTTACATATTCCTACAAGCACACAATATAACAATGCAGTTTGGCCAATATCACTCCCCAGCACTTTCCCCTTCTCTCCCCTTTTCCCACTCACTGGTTGTTTTCGTCTACTGATCTTCCTTTTATTTTAATGAGACCTCCCCCCACACCCCCCCCCCTTTTTCCTCTCTAGCCTCCACATTTGAGAGAAAATATATGACTCTCGACCTTCTTTGACTCATTTGACTTAACATAATGGTCTCAAGTTCCATTCATTTTCTTGCATAATTTCATTCATCTTTATGGCTGAATAAAATTCCATTGTGTATATATGCTATGTTTTCTTTATCTAGTCACCCATTAATAGATACTTAGGCTGGTTCCACAGTTTGGCCATTGTGAATTATGCTGCTATAAATATGAGTATGCATGGATCACCATAGTATGGTGGCTATAATTCTTTAGGTTAGATACAGAGGAGTGGTATGCCTGAATCATATGGTGGTATATGCCTAGTCTTTTGAGGAACCGTCACACTGTGGATATCTATATTATTAAATCTCTCCATTGACTATGAAACACTCTAAAATTTGGGAACAACTAAAAAGAATGCTTTAAAATTAGAAAACTTTCATACATATCGATATATTTTTCTTTTATGAGATGGAGGGTATTCTAATTTTGCAGAAGAAAATCTGCAATTTTGTTGAATTTTGTTGAAGTTAAATGACTCTGACCCAAGTCTTCTCTTGTCTTGTCCGGTATAACTAGCTATTATTTTATAAAATAGTAATTGACTTTCATACTCTCCAGGGTCACTTCCAAGTTCATTTGGAACAAATAGTACATTTTTGCCTCATTAAAGTCTAGGGAAATTTGACATATTCTAGAGAAGATGAGATGCATTGAATAAACTATAGATAATGAACTCAAATTTAGATGCTTATGGAATGCCTAATGTTGGCATGAACCAATCTTTGATATCTGAAGTAAACTACATTCTCATCAAAAGTTGAACACTTTGGTGCATTTTGGATGCATTAGTTCATTCATGTATTCATGAAAAGCTTTTGGAGTACCTATGATGTGCCAGGCACTGTGAGGGGTTTTAGATTCACAGAGGAGAACAAGACAAATGCTGGGATTTTCTCCTGATGCTTACAATCTAGTAGAAGTAGACCTTGAACAATAAAAATCAAACAAACAATAATAATCAAGTAATTAAATTTATAGAATTTCTGAAATGCCACAAATGCTGTAGAGGTGAAGTAGGAGAGCACAATACAGAGAGTCCTAGAGTAGTTATTGCAGAATCTGGATATCATATCCACAGAAGGGACCTTTTAGTTGAGCCCTCCTTTTATTTGGGTTGGGGTGCTGGGGATTGAACTCAGGGGCACTTGACCACTGAGCCACATCCCCTGCCCTATTTTGTATTTTAGTTGGTGACAGGGTCTCACTGAATTGCTTAGGACATTGCTAAGTTGCTGAGGCTGGCTTTGAACTCACAATCCTCCTGCCTCAGCCTCCCCTGAGCCCTCCTTTGAAGGAGGAGTCAGCCTGGTGCATAGATAGTGACAAGGAGAGAACAGGATGCAGCCCACACAAAAGTTCCTATGGCTCGAAGGTCAGTGAAGAAAGTCCTGTTGGCTGGAAAAAGTGAGAAGAGGAGGCTGGAGCCATGCAATTGGAGCCTGGGCAGACCAAAGCGTGGGGCTGGGTTTTTGGTCCCGAAGGACCCCCATCTACGTTCTAAGCAGGGAAAGGCATGATCAGATCTGTCATTTAAAAAGATGACTGTAGCTAGTATGTGAAGAATAGATTGGAAGGGAAAGGAATGGAGAAACCCAACATTAGTGAGCATTCCAGCGGCCCAGGCCCGTGGACCTGGTGAGGGTGATAGAAGTGGAGAGAAATGGACAGGCCCCCCGTACCTTTGTGTCATTTCCTTTCCTCCATCTCTGCTTGGTGCCAGACACGTCTTGTATTGGTTACAGCCCCAACAACCACCAGGAAAATGACCACCTTGCCCCCAACCACCACCCCTCACATGACGACAACCACAGCGGCGGTGCCTCCAACAACAGCCGTGACGACCCCTGACCTCACAACCAGAGCACCGCTTCAGACGATGGCCACCTCGGGCTTCACAACGTCCACCACGTGCCCCCTGACAACAATGACCTCCCTCTCGGAGGTGGCCACGAGTCTTCTGACCACCGGGCCTTCTACGGAAGGGCCTGACCTCACCACAGGTAGATGGCAGAACTGGGCCCCTGTTCCCTTCCGCTGGTGAGAGGTGCCCGGATTTCCTTAGAATCAGGTGATCACTGGGATCACAGCCCGAGAACCTTCTCTTGGGTCTCTGTGGGGGTGTGTATGCACGTGTTTGTGTTCGTTCGTGGTCAGGGCCTGTCATCACAGATACCACGTGCCGGTGGCTTAAACAGGAGAACACATTTACTCACAGCTCTGTGGTCTCGGAGTCCAAGGCTCAGGTGTCAGCCAGGTTGGTTTCCTGTCAGTCCTCTTTGGTTTGTAGATGCTTGTCTTTTCCCTGGGTCCTCATATGGTCTTTCCTCTGTCTGTTCTTCTGTGAGACCAATCATATTGGATCAGGTTCCATCCCTATGATCTCCTTTGGCCTTAATTACCACTTCAAGGGCTTAACTCAACATGCAGTCATATTCTGCAGTCCTGAGGGTTGTCATGTCACCATGAATATGAATGGGGGGGGGGCGACAGGCAGCCATCAAGCAGAGAGCACTTGTGTGTGTGGATATTATTTCACTAAACTGTTCCTTTATTGTTTCATATTTTCTTTTTCTGTGTCTTTTCCTTTGTGTTTTTTGGACAAGTCAGCTTCCTGTGCTCTCCCTTTGACCTACCAGGAGTCTTGCTTCCTAAAGAACCAGGAAAGTTTATTTGAAGTCAGACTCCAGTGCTATCCTTTTAGGGCGAAGTCTCTGATTGGTTGAGGAAATGTTTTTAAAATAGGTCAACTAGTTCTATCCTGGTTTCTCTATATTTCCCCTGAATTTTTCTTGACCCTGCTCCTTTGTAACTCTCAAAAGTGACTAACTCCATTGCTTGGTGGGGTTTGTTTAAGCTTCCTCCACATTTCAACCCTGATTCTGAGGTGAGACTATTGGAAAACAACCACGAGGCAGCATTTAGCAGCCTCAGTCAGGCTCAGATAATTCCAGTGGCTTTCCAATATTGAATTGGCCGATTCTAGGATTCTCTGAGTCGTCATCGAAATCCATAAACTCTAAATTATTAATCAATTTTGCATTTTTTTTCAAATTCCTTTAAGCTTTAAAATAACCATCTTAAAACATCTTAGTTTCTTTTCTTTTAGTCTCAAAATTACCTTCCATCTTTCAGGAAAGCTGGACATACAGAGAAACCACAAAGGGGACTGTTAAAAAAAAGGGGGGGGGGAGGGCTTGTAGGTCTTGGCCCTTCCTAACCCCCTTCCCAGGCCCCTCCCTTGCCCCACTAGGGCTCTCCCAGACCCCTCCCACCTCTCCCCAACTCCCTCTCCAGGCACTTCCCTGGCTCCTCCCCATCTCTGAATACTACCACCTACCACAAGTACCGTTCACACTGTTTTTTTTTTTTAACTGCCTTTTATCAAACTTTTTTCTCTCCCAGAATCAGCAACTTTTCGTGGTTCCAGCACGTCTTGGAGAAGCATCAAGGCAACTTCTGCACACACTGCCTCGTCTATGGCCAAAGGTGAGCGGACCCTCACTGTATCTTTCCTCACCTCTCGGATTAGGGAGAAACACTGAGTAAAGGTGATGCGGAGGTGGGGCATGGTGGCCTAGGCCTGTAATCCCAGCAACTCTGAAGGTTGAGGTAGGAGGATCGCAAGTTCGAGGCCAGTCTCAGCATCTTGTGAGGTCCTAAGCAATTTAGTGAGACCTGTTGCAAAACAAAAAATAAAAAGGCCTGGGAATGTGGATCAGTGATCAAGCAGCCCTGGGTCAATCCCTGGTACTGAAAAAAAAAAAAAAAGTGTTGAAACAGAAGACTACAGATGACCTTGAGGCCCTGAGGCATTTGTGCCCTGAAGTCCACCTGGGACAAGTTGGCATCAGAGCAGCTTTTGTGGTTTGCTAAAGGTAGCAGGTGGCCTCTCTAGCATGTGGTACTCTTCTTTCTCATCCTCATTCCAAGGACTTTAGTTTTCTTTGTTGAAACTCAGCGGGATGCTTGTTTAGTCTTCTCCCTTTGTTCTTCCAAAGGGTCTGAAACTCGGGTTCTTAGGACTACATCCCAGGGAACACAGAAAAAGAGTGACTCAGGGGAAACTGGTGATTCCGTGACTCCTCTTCAACCAGGTGAGGGAGCAGTGTGCTTGTGATTGCTTTGTCTTTGGCCATGGGAACAATCTGCCACATGACTGCGTGTCTTAGGATTCTGCTGATTCTGATCCACTGGGGCCTATTCCATATCCTCCTGTGAACTGGGATCAAAGTGAAACCCTTCACAAGCCTCAGAGCGGGTGGGGTGGCTTCTGCCCTCCCCTGCTCATTTCCAAAGCCCCTCTGTTGAACTCCATGTCTTCTTTAGCAACTTCAGACTTGAAGCCCGGAATAGTGGTAGGAAAATCACAGCTCATCTGTCAAACCGTTACTTATTTATTTTAAATCACACAAACGTTACACTAATGCACATAAAGACAGAAATGAAATTCTCCTTGATTCATTGTCCTCAATCCCAGCCTCTCCACTTCCCCAAGATAATCACTGTTAATTGAAGATGGTCATTCCAGATCTTTTTTTCATTCCCTTATATGTGTGTGTGTGAGTGTGTGTGTGTGTGTGTGTGTGTGTGTGTGTGTGTGTTTTAAGCCATCATATCATATACAATAAGGTACTGCATGTTATATGATGCATATGATATTTGAGTAAATATCATTATTTACTTAATGATGTATATTGGACCACTTATTTTTTTCAGTTCATTTAGAGACCAGTATCATTATGTTGAATTGCACTAAAATAGGTCATACCATGGGTACTCATAATATCTATTGCCTATTGAATGGTATTTCAGTTGCTCCAAAGTTTTTCTATTATAAATGATGCTGCTGTGAACATCCTTGAATATGCATGCTTCCTTCGGCAATTATGCAAGCATTTCTCTAGGTAGATTTGGTGACCAAGCAGTAAAAATGCTAGATTGAAAAAAAAAATGTGCTCTTTTCAATTTAACAGCTATTACAAAATTGTCCTTGAGAAAGGCTGTGCTGATTTATTTTCCCACCCACAGAATATCTGCTTTCCCATATCCTCCTTATGCTTGATATGACCATTTTATTTTTTTCAATCTCCTGAGAACATGTCATCTTGTTCTTTTCCTGTTTTGATTAACAGAGAGTTTGAGCATCTATGTCAATCAGAAAACAGCCATCCCTTAACTCAAAGGAGGCAATGTAATAGCACTCACAGGGCTCAGAAGATGGGAGTGGGGGAAGGGGAAGACAGGAGTGCGTGGAAGCAGGGGGAAGTTTTGCAATGAGACTACAAATTAAGATGCAACGTGAGTGTGATCTGATGTTGAGAAGTTTTGGCTTGCATCAGCTCATACAGTGTGAAGATCTGGAATGGAAGTTGATAGCTAGAGGGAAACTGGGAGACAAGATCCAAACCCTCTTTGTTCAGGGTTGAAGTGAAGTTGGGGAACTACTTTTTGCAAAGGTAGTGGAGGGTCAGGATAGTGTCCCCAAACTACTATTCTCTATTCCATTTTAAACATTAGACTATTTTACACAGAATTACAAGGGAATAATCTCTTTTCTTATTTTCTATTCTATCCTGATAATATTAATTTCACTCCTTATGGACCAAATCCTAGGACAGAGGGAGCCCTTGCTGCAATGTCCATAGGTTAAAGCTGAAGAGGGGCTTGCCACAAGGCCAGTGGCAAGCTTCATTTAATAGCTCTTAGTAGATGCCCAGAGAGCTGTTTTATCTAAATTTCCCAAGGTCAATAGTTTTCAGGTACCAGAACCAGGAAGTCTAGCTCTGATTGCTTTTTTGGGGGGTGGTAGTGGTGAGGAAGAGTACTAGGGATTGAACTCAGGGGCACTCAACCACTGAGCCACATCCTCAGCCCTATTTTGTGTTTTATTTAGAGACAGGGTCTCACTGAGTTGCTTAATGTCTCGCTTTTGCTGAGACTGGCTTTGAACTCATGATCCTCCTGCCTCAGCCTCACAAACCTCTGGGATTACAGGCATGTGCCACTGGGCCCAGCTGATTACATGTTCTTAAATATGACTTGACTTACCTGGGCTTCCAGTCTGAAATAAAAGGTCATGATTTTTTTTTTCATTTATCACCCTATTCTTCCCATTTTTTTTATTACAATGAAACACAGCATATTTGCAGTCACCACCTATTGAGGACTTAACTGTATATTAGGCGATGATTGAAAAGTTTTTATGTCCATGTTTGTACTTAAATTTCACAGTGATCATCCAGCAGGTACAGCTATGATCCTCATTTTACAGGTAAAGAAATGAAAGATAATAGAATTTATTAAAGAAGCCAATAGTTTCTTTTATTAAAGAAGCCAATACTTTTTTCCCCACTGTACATTTTATTTGTATTATCTCTTATTTTTCATGAATTCCTATGAGGTAAGTAGAGTTATCCCCTCTGTTTTAGAGTCCACGAAGATGAATAACTTGTCCAGTTGATGGCAAGCCTCGATTTAACCCATGTCTTTCCAACTCTAAGGCTACTCTGACAATCCCATGCTGCTTCCTTCTGATCTCCCCTTTGGAGCCTCTTATAGAATAAGGGTTCTTCTTTGTTTTAGTGAAAATGCTTTAACCCAATTTAGAGGGCCTGCATGTCTCTGGGTCCTCCCCAACTCCCATTCTGGCTAATTGTCTCTAATTCCCTCCCCATTTCTTCACATTTTTTTTTTTTTTTTGATGGTAAGGCTTCTATGGTTGAGGGCTAGTTTAAATCCTTAGCATTCCTCAGAGTAGCAATTCTTCCCTCCACTCTATGGATACTAAGAAATGGAGCTCGAAATGTGGAGCCACTTGCCCCAGATCACACAGCTGGATAGAGAGAGAGAGAGAGAGAGAGAGAGAGAGAGAGAGAGAGAGAGTCAGTCAGTCAGTCACACCCCAGATTCAGGGATTTTAAAACTATGTCCATTTTTAAAAATAATTCTATTTATTTATTTTTATGTGGTGCTGAGGATCTATCCCAGTGCCTCACACATGCTAGGCAAGCACTCTACCACTGAGCCCCAGCCCCAGCCCACTATGTCCAATTTTAAACTATGTCCTTAAATGAGGATTATCTATGGATAAACTTTGGGTGGAGGTGGGGAGCATAAATCCCATGAAATTATATGTAGACTTTTTGTGTGTACACAGTTTTCTATGGAAAAGCTCAGAATTTTCATGGGATTCTCCAAAATTTCTGCAATTTCCCAAATGGTTAGGAACCATAATTCAATTACAAACACAAACAAACACCCATGAATGAAAACTCTGATGAAGATCTTTCGAAGATTGTTTTCTCCCTCTTAGAAGTCTAGCAGGAGCATGCAAACTCTTAACCCTCTAAGAGGATTCATTTCATTTATTTCTGGGAAGCAGAAGTATGTGCAGTGATCCCAAATTGTTCCCTAAAGCCTCGATCACCATTATTTATGGACTCCTAAAGCCAGAGCAAATAGAGTGGACTGGGATTAAGTCCCCTGCTGATTGTATCTCAGGCTCACTTTAATGGCTTCAATATCTCCAGTTCTTTCTTTCTAGTCCTCCTCCTGGTCTCTGGGTGGCCTTGGCTGGGATTTAAGAGGACCCGAATGCTCATGAGTACATTGCCATTTTGTGGTGATTTTTGTTTGTTCCCCTTCTTGCTCTGTCCTTTCTGAAATCTCAGTTTCCTCAAACTGTACAATGAGGATTACAATAAAGGGCTTTTAAGAGACGGTTAGGTGAGGAAGTGCATGCGTGTATAGCCATTAGCTGGTAAATGACTGTCTTCATGAAGGATTCCTGTGTCCGTTCTTTACATTTCTGCTGCTAGTCCCCCTCACACGCCTTCCTTGTTAGGTTAATCCAGAGGGATAATAAGAGGCCGTTAGTATCCGATGTCCACTGACTTGCTATTCCTGATACATTCATAGACTCTTTGTCGTTTTTATTATTTTTTTAATTACTAATTACACTGGGGAAATAGCTCCTGAGTGACAAAATTATGAACTTGAGGAAGTTTTAAAAATCTTATAGTAGTAATTCTCTAAGAACAGAGTAAATGTGAGATTCTGAACGCTTTCCACGGACTCCTTTTTAGGATGCTCTGCGGAACTGGAAATTACTGGCTTTATTACTACGGGTGGACGTCTTCATTCTCCATTGTTTTGTCTTTCTTAATCTATGCTCAGTTTTGTTCCACTTTGTAATTTAGACTTGAAAAATCAAGTTCTATCTGAAAAGGAGCTGTGATCTAGCTTGTCATTCAAGGGCTTCCAGATTCATGTTTTTAATGTTATAAGGCCACTCTATGTCCACATCTTCTAGTTTAATGGCCCCCTCCTCCAGTTATAGAGTCTTTAGTCTGCATCAAGAGAAACTCTACCCAGGATTGACATCCTTACCTCCACTCTTTAACTGCATAGAAATGGAGCTCAGAGATGCAGTGACTTACCCAAGATCACACAGCTAGACAGAAGCAAAGCTGGGACTCATAGCCAGGATTCAGGGATACTGATTATGAGTCTATGAACTCCTAGAATGAGAGGTGGGTGTAGAGGGAAGTGTTGTGTGGAATACCGGGGAAACTGAGGCACCGAGAAGACCAGTGATTTGAGAGAGGCCTTTCGATGAGTTGGGAAGAGATCTGCCACCAGAGCCAGCTCTCCTGATCTCATGCATGGACGGCCTTTGTCCCAGGACTGGCAGGCGTTATCTCTCAACAGGGCTCCCTTGAGGCAGGGTTTCATATTCACTCCTAAAGTATTAGGATTCACTTTTTCCTCAGCTCCTAAATGGATCATTATACCAATCACCAACATGAAGTCAAAATAGTAGACTAATTCAAATTCAATGCACCTGAAAAATGCAAGTCAAAACTACAAGATTCCATCTTGCTCTAGTCAGAGCAGCAAGGAACAAGAAAACAAACAACAATAAATGCTGGCGAGGTAAATGTGGGGAGAAAGGAACACTTGTACATTGTTGGTGGGATGTACAGTCACTCTGGAAAGCAGTTTGGAGATTCCTTAAAAAAACTAGGGATGGAACCCCCATATGAACCAGCTAATCTCACTCCTGGGTACTTTCCCCAAAGATATAAAATAGGCA